TCAATTGAAACTCGATTACTTGCGCGAATTCTGATTAAAAAATGCTCACACTTTTCATCTGTATAGATTGTTCATTCTTCGGGTAACACTTGTGCTTTATCCACACCAATGTCTGCCGTCATATAGATACTTTACTGTGATGAAAAGATGGCGTATGGAAAGGTATACGAGGCCTGTGACTTACGGCACGACGTTTTATTGAGCTCTGATTGATCTCCAAGTGTATATCTCTCCAAATGCATCTATCTCACAGACGACACGATGTTATATACGAGAGAGACGAATAAGAAGAGAGAAAGAACGAATCCAAGGTAACGACAATAAAAGAATGAAGTGCAGTCACACACAGAGGACAATAAAAGTAAAGCAGTTACACAGGTTGATAACTAATGTATAACAAGACAGGATGAAACGAGAAGTATTGCGCACGAATGATTTGCGTGTCGGCACAATTACTCTGGTTTATTTATTTCTAGCGATAATGATAGCACAATTTATTCCTTATGCGCCGCCAATCACTGCAAAAGTAGGTGTCTACTTTAGAAGAGTTCACCTTTTTGAGTTATTCTTGGAAAGTAACGAAAAAGAGGATTATTGACAACCCAAATATCACAATGAAATTTGCATATTCTTCATGTTTTTCTTCAACTGTTGTAATATAAATTAATGTAGAATCTTCGTCTCTTTCCATCAGTTCTCATTTCTTGTTTTTCTATTTAGTCTATAGGAAAATAGAATTGTTGATATTTTTGCTTTTCATTCTACATAGCATACAGCATAGCAACATTATAAAAGTCACTCGTGCACACGCATCAAAGAAACAATAATCTTTAAATACTTTTCTAAACATTTATTAATTTACATGAACATATATGCGAAACATTCCGTATTACTTCAAAGATAATTAAACAGAATAAAGTTTAAACCAAAGGACTCTGATAAATAGATATTAAGTTATAAGGCAAAGACTAATGTTGAATTATCGTCTATGGGGTGATTTTTTTTTTAGATTAAGACAAGGTTTAAATCTGTTCGAAGAGACAAATAAGCGAAAAGACTACTCAATGCCAGATGTCTGGAAAAGATATTGCAACCTGGAAATTATATTATATAAAATTTCTTGAAGACCAAGACAGAATTGGCTTAAAAAATTTTCTTATTGTTCTATTATGTGTATTAGTCGGTATATTGACTACATATCTCATACATAATCCTTATGGTAGCTATGTTCCAATCATCTTAATAGCCATTTTTGAATGGTATAGATCTTATCCACGATCAAAACGTTCATATTATGGTTTATGTCGATTATTATTATTTATATCAATTATTAGCTTATGGAATGTATTTATATTGACACTTATCATTCAAAGTATTGCTTCATTGTTAGGTTATCATCATATAGTAATAAACAAAATTCAGCACTTATTTCCATATGCATTAATGTTTACTACTTTTGCTCGAAATAAACATGATATGAATTTAAATGATAAAAGACGCTATATTATACATTTATTATATGATATACCAGCATTTTTAGTAGTTATAGGCTTTAAATTATTAAATAATCCATTAAACTCATTATGTAGTCAAATTACGACCTGTTGTTATTTAGGTTGTCTGCCTGTTCCTGCAGATGTAGAGACATTAAATAATATTGGGATTAAATATGTTATTAATATGTGTGCTGAATATAATGGTCCACGTAAAACATATAAAAAATATAATATAAAGCAATTTCATTTACCAACCGTAGATAGTACAGCACCATCATTAAAGACAATTGAAAAAGCAATCAAATTTCTAAAAGAAGCTTATACAAATGATGAAAAAATATTTGTTCATTGTAAAACTGGTATGGCAAGAAGTGCTACAATTGTATTATGCCATTTGGTTGCTAATGAAAAGATGTCACCGGAAAATGCATTAAAATTACTCAAAGAAAAAAGACCTGAAGTATCAACTAGTATTATTACTTATGGAACTGTGAAACAGTTTTTCACCTCGTTAAAAAACAATAAAACGCAATAAAATTTGTCTACGATTTTGCTAATTTACACCTACAGAGTGTGGATGTGGGTATGAGTGTTGATATAGCTTTACTCTCTGGCGACACTCACACCCTATCAGCAACTACGACCACCACTTAGTACTCACACCAATTCAAACTGTTAAAACTAGTTTATGTGTCCCAAAAACCGCGTTTAAACGGCTGCAGATATTTAAATTTAACCTGTTTAAACGGGCAAAACGTGTTTTTAGGGGGAGGAGGAGGGGAGTATACCACACTGTTTAAACACCATTTTTTCCTTTTCCTTATCTGCTTGGATATCAAAATAACAAAGGAGGAAAGATTTCTCTTTGAATGATTTACATTTCTGCTGGAAAAAGTCCATTTTGACTAGTATTTTTTCATAGAGTAAAAAAGTAAAATGATTGAAATCTCCTTAAGGAGAGCTCCCATACCTTCTCTCCCCCTCCTCCCCAAAACTTTTTTATTTCGATTTCAAGATTTTCATTTCTAACAATGTATTATAAGTAGTAAGTGATGTCTGTACCATCTGTTTTCTGTAGTTAACGTTCTGGTTTTATATCAGGATGTTGATTTCCATACAGTTTTAATTAACGCGCACTATCTCTCATTCCAGAGACGACAGTTGCAGATTGTGTCTATTTTACTAATTCATTTTCACTTTGTTTTTCACGTACAAATTCCAATGTTTCTAGGTCGTTTACAATCAGAGAGGTATGAGACCATGACCTTCTTGACTAGTGTAGCTTTGTTCGTTTCGTTTTCTATACGATTGCCGCGGTCGAACCATCTGAGACGATTGTGTCTCATAATTCTCTCGATTGATAGTTGGTCTGATAGTTCTAGAATTGTCTTGTTTGGCATTCAGTCTCCTAAATTTAGATAAAGTATAGTTCATATATATTTCATGTAGAACGTGATGATTTTGCTCTCTGGTGCTATCATTAGGCACCAGACTACACCCCAGTACAAGAGTACAAGTAAAACACACACTCTGAAAATGCAGAGTTTGGCTCTCATGAACATTGATTTTCTATACTAAACTATATATCTTAACAGTTGAACATCGTTGTTGCTTTTGTTACCTGCAATTCAATCTCTTTATCTGACTTTTGATCATTTGAAATTAGACAACCAACGTATATGAACAATTAAGTTGCATCAATTCTTTGGTTCCTAATAATTATATCAGTTTCTACATTGTCAAGTACCTGGTTGTTTATTATTTTCCTATGTGTACCTTCCTTACATTGTAACAGTGACATCGTGCAGACCAATCTAACAATTTTGTCTGCTAATCCATAATGCCAATCTAATTTCCAGAGTGATTTTCTAATCATGGAATCATACGCTTTTTGAATGTTGATAAAACATATGAACAGAGGTTTGATATGTTCTCTCGATTTTTCCATCACCATTTTCACGATAAATATTTGATCTATGATTGATTGGTTTGGTCGAAAACCTGCCTGTTATTTTAACACTTGTTGATCAGCTAGAGCTTGGACACGATTGAAAATCACACGAGTGAAGAGCTTATTTATAATATCCAATAGAGAAATGCCACGATAGTTATCGCATACTTTTTTTTATCATCCTTGTTATTGAAAAAACGAATCAATATTGCCGATGATCAGTTCTCAACTATTTGTTCATTTTCCCATATATCGACAAATATTTAATAAAGCCATTTGAGAATTGATACGCCGTCTACTTTCAATATATCAGTTGTAATTCCATTATTGTCACGTGTTTTCTCAGATTTCATCTATCTTAATGTTAGTTGTATTTCTTGCAACGTAAGTGATTTTTCTTGCCATTGCTTTTCTATTGGTGAGATGCTTGATGTTGAGATTTGATCAATAATGTTTGAATCAACAACACTGTTTATATTCAGTAGTTCTTTGAAATATTCACACCATCTTGCTAATTTATCATCGGAACTTAGAAGCATCGTACCATTTTTATCCTTGATTGACATGTTTTCGACGTTTTGTTTACCATCTTTGAATCTTCTAATCATTGGGAAGACTATTGCTGAATCGTGTCAGACAATTGCTGCTTCAACATTTCAACCTGACACTCATTAATCAACTGTTTCACAACTTTTCTTAATACCACATACTTACTTTTGTATTTCTTTTCCTCAGGTGTTTCACGATGATCCTGCCAACTGAAAATGCTGAGAATTTCTTCTCTATTCTTTGCCAGATTTCATCAATCAACAGTTCTTTCCTTTTCTCGTAGATGCCTTTGTCCACAGCCAGATATTTCACGGTGACTTTTTTTTTTTACATATTTTACAAAGTCTAAATATTTGTTATTAGGTGTGGGTGTATTTGGCATTGAGAAGATGACTAACACCCACATCCTCCATCGTCATTCGATGAAAAACATAGAATTTTCCACACGCACACCCTTTGTACCCGAAAAGCATAATTTATTTTCATCAAAGTTGGATCTTTTCAAATTTCTTTCAGTACATTTTTTCTTGATTGATGAATATTTTTATTGTAACTTCGTTCTTTTCCCAAATATTTATAAAAGAAAAGATTATTTTCTTTCGAGAAAGGAAAAAAGTTAATATTATTTGTGATAAGGCTGACACAAGTAGTATGGTACTATGCGTGAAAATAGTCTATTGACAATCATAAGAAGAATGAAAAATGATTTTAATACTATATTTTGCCTAATCGTCGTTTCATGACGAGGTATTGCTTTTGTGTTATATTCTGATAAGCCTACATTAAGTTTATTATTTTAGAATATTGATATGGTGAAAATATACTTGTATTTAACATCATTTATCTTGTGGTATTATATAGGTGAATGTATACAACCATATTTTCCGCCTCAAATTATATTTTCCCCTGATAATGGTGTAACAACAATCGCAATTGATGAAATAAATCAACGAGCTTATCAAAAAATCAAGTTAAGTTCTTATGCAAGTGAAACGTCATTTGTTATGAAGCACTTTCCATATGCGATTCCTAATTCTCCCGAATCAAAATATTATGTTCAATTATTAGTAGATTTTCCACCTCTCAATTGTATGTATGGAACATATTGGAAATATGGTGGAAATACATTTAATTCATTTCCTTCACATTGGCGTAATGGAAGTTCATATGAAATAAAAAATTATATGAAATTTAATTATGAAATGATCCACTCAAGTAATTCTTCTGTAAATGAAGATTATTGGTATTCAAATGTAACATGTCAAACTGATAGTGGAAAAAGTTATCCATGTGAAGAAATTTATTTTGAAAAAAATACTCAAACTCCTCTTCGATCAACTCGAGTTGCACGTGGAGGATGGGATGTAAGACAGTTCACAACATATTATAAAGTCATATCAGTAGGAAAACCAGATGACAAATTATTCGATTCAATACCACAAGGTTGGTATGTTGCTTGTCGTGATGTTATGCTTGGACTTTTATATTATCCACAAACATCAAAAATAGATTTAAATCAAAGTGTAAAAGTTCAAGTTTGGCTTATAACTCCACCACATCGAATTAATGGAAATGATACTGTTCATATTCAATGGAAAACAACGGAATGTAACGATTGTTTTACATGGACACCTAAACAACTTTCTTTTAACAGCGAAAATTTTCAAGAAAGACAAACATTAACAATAACTCGTGTTAAAAATGGTCCCAAAACAACGCTGATTCCAATTTTTAATGGTGGAGGTTTCGATCTTGTTACACCGGATAATTATCCTATTTTTATTGAATAAGTTTTTTTCGGTTCATCGTAAATATTTATGAAATAATCGAAATAAAATGCTTATCAGAAGAATATTTCAATTGTAAAAGAAAATAAAAATCATCGTTCACGCATTTCTGCAGAATAATATCTGAATCAAAGAGAAATGAATAATAATAGAAAGAATATACGCTGTATTTTATGAACTTGTTTCTATTTTGTGTCAGAATGGAATTCAGCTGGCGCAGACGTTGAATTTGATTGACTAGTAATAATATCATGTGAGATCTAATGAATTTTCTATATTCACGACTACATGAGTAATGTGCAAGGTGTATTAACTGTCAAATATAAATAGTCGAAAAAGATGTTTTATATCTTTGACGTTACCGTTCAATTCGCATACAAAAATTTTATCAACGATATTGAAAGCGCAGGTTAAACTCATGAGCAGATTCAACTTTTCGTACATGGTCTCGACGAGCTCTAATCTTCAGTAAAATGGTACACAAAATATATTTATTAATACTCCTATTAAATCAATCAGAAAAGCGAACATTTGAATAATTCTGCGTAGTTTTTAGTATCAATGAACTTTGAGATAGCTTCTTAAACGAAATATTGTAGTTTATTTTCATCATTATAGTTCATTTGTGGATTATTAAAAATTTTAAAGTCGATGTCAAAGTCTCTATTTAGTTTTTTTTATAACTTTTAATTTAATGTATACATCAAAATAAGAATAAGCGAAACATTTCTATGAAAATAATACAGAAACTTTATTGATTCGATTTTGAAAAATTCCTTTTTATTGCACTTTCTTGATTAGTGAATATTTTTATTGTAACTGCGTCATTTTACTCGACTATTTAAAAGAAAAACGAAATTACTTTGTTTTGTTACACAATAGAACAATAGAATACGAGTGATTTATTTGTGAGAAGCTGATACAGGTGACACGATAATATGAATGAAAAAAAGCTTATCGACAAACATAAGAATGAAAAAGTATTACAGTAGTGTTTCATCAACTCATCATTTCATGACAATTTCTTTTTTGTGTGCCAAAAGAAAATATATTCTGATAAATCTTCATTGATATTTATTTAGTGAACTATATTAGATAGTGAAAACAATCTATGGTATGAAAATAAATTTTATTATTTAAAAATATATTCTTTTTGCTCATGCTCATTTTGCTATTCATGTATCTACAGAGCTTCTTGTTATTTTTATTATTGACAAGGGTTCGGTAAAATGTTTGCTTTTTTGTGAGTACAAACCGGAAAAACTGACCTTGACTCTTTTCACTTTTATTGTCACGAGATTCAGTATAATTGATTTAGATCGAATCAAATGTCTATTTTTGATTGAGTTGATTACTTGTATTCAATGATATTCAAAGGGGCTGGTAAATTCGTTGAAACATTTTAAATATCAATATTTTCTCGTCATTTATTTTAGCTTTACATGTTCAACATTTATTATTCAACTCTTATTAAATTAAAGAAATGTTGATAAAGGACATTCTATTATATTATATGATTAATATTGTACATAATTTTTCTTAGTAAGCAAATTTATATAAAGAAGATTTTTATTTTTGCTCATTTTAGACAACAAGATCTTAATGAAATATTTTTCTTTAATATAACAATACGCTATATCGTCATCAAACTAAATGATAAACAAATATCCATATGTAAAAATAAGAAAAAAAATTGTATCAATAAATTTGATTGATTACAAGTAATATTAACTATTCTCGTTAGCAAATAAAAGTTTCATTTTTTATATCTTTGAATTTAAATGTCGTCTGTTTATTTCTATTATAGTCAAATTATTCTCTTGGATTTTATTACGATGATCTCAATGTGCAATCAACAGTCGCATTCACTATATGAATATTAATAGTGAGTATAGAGAGAGAGATAAGATTGAACAAAGTCGAGATTATTTATTTTTTTAGATGACCAAATTTATACGATCATATGTCTATATTTCAACAAGTCTTTTTATAACAAGTGATCAATGTACAATATCGATCTTCACATAAACATTTCTTTCGCTACTCTCTTCAAATAGATTTTTTTTCTATATTATACAATGAAGTTAATTGATTAAAATATTCAATAAATAGAGATGATTGAAACACTCGAATAAAAATAAATAAATTTAGATCAAGTAACAGAAGCAGATCTTGATGTTCATGCAATGTCAACTATTTATAATACAAGAATTTCCCAAAAGAGAAAATAACTATTGTCTAGTTGATAAAACTGTGTCTCTATAATTTTATATTCATCTATAAGTGCAAGAAGATTTGGCATAGATTATTTATAAATAAAAACGATCAAAACATCCACGGTGTCTATATTGAGCAAAATATAAAAATGAGAGTATACTAATTACTTGAATATATATACGTGTACTAGCTGGCAATCAAAGATACGATTATTTTTATTGCTGAGATCGAAAATGTTGAAAACATGAAATCAATCATTATTGTTGCTATTTTACTTCTTAGTTATGTTGCTCTTAATGAAAATGAAATTCAATTATCGTTTATTTTTTTGATAATAAAATGTGTTTTTTTTTGTAGCACCTCAATACTATTCTCATCATGCATGTTTAATTAATTGTCCATAGTTGAATAGTACAATAAGATCTTGTAGTGTTGATGATAATAGATGTTACAAAGCTACATTTACTGGTGGTGTCAGCTATGATTGAGGTAAAGAATGATGTATAATGTTGAAATAAGTTCTTTTGTTTTTCTATTGATATCAAACAAATATAATCATTATTTTGTTAAATAGATCAACGTTAATTCAGTTCTGACTAATGTGTGTTGTGAAAAAGATTTGTGCAGTTCATTAAGAACATCAAAACGAACACTTAGCACATCCTTAATAATCACGAGTGTCTTGATTTGGGTTCGAAAATAAAAAGGAAAGGAAATAATAGACAGTTAGATTACTCTTTGTTTGACTTAATATTTTGCTCATAAATAGAGCTCATAGTTTAAATGAAAACCCTAAAAATTTTCATGTCCTTGAGCCTTTTTCCTCGAGTTATGATCATTTTACTAAATTTCATATGAAATTTTCCTCAATAACAGATATCATCGTACCTGTGATAATCTGAAAGTTTTAGTTCACATAAATGAGATTTTCTTAAGATATGGGATGCCTAAAAAATGGACTATTTCAGGAGCTTTCATGAAAATGTAATGGTTTTTTTTAAATGTGTTATCTCGAAGGACGAGCATCTATTTGAGCTAATGCTTTCAGGATATAATAAGTACCACGAGAACTGTTATTGGGATCAGTTCCACACGAAAATTCCTTATTGTAGTTTTTTTCTTATTAAGATATAACAGCACGGATCCACGTGTATTGCATAGCAGCTACTCGTTAATAATTTTTTTCTTCGTTATGCCTTTACGATACTCATTAGATGAGAACGAAAAAAATCATTAGATAGCCTATCATCTTTTCTCTTTTTGTCGAGGACGAGAGAATAACTGTATTACATAAACACCATATGTGTGATACTGCTTTTCGTCCTTGCTCTCATTTGATCTTAGAAAAGAAAATATTAATTATTTTTAGACCTATGATTTGTTTATATAAGATACAAGAGGAGCGGTTTACCTGTATTGCGTAGCAGCTACTTGTTGATATTTTGTTTTTCATTACGCGTTTACCATACTCATCAGGTAGGAATGAAACGCAACTTTAGATAATGTATAATATTTCCTTTTTCCATCGTGCGAGGTAGAACAACGGTATTTAGGTAGGCACCAGTTAAAGTTTTGACTGGTTGACTGAGTACTCAGCATTACTGAATATCCAGTAAAGTGAACTAAAGTTGATTAAATAATCAGTAATTTTGTTCGAATACACTGAAATTGTCTGAATATAATGATACTAATATACTAATAATTATTTTGAAATCGAACTCATGCATTATTCTAGTGTCATTATCGGTTCAATTGAATAATAAATAGCGATTGAACTAGAGAGGCATCAATATCAGTATACTGGATACTAGTCAAGGGGACAACAATTTTCAAAAACGCGTTTAAACACTAGAAATCATTCTTTTCTGAGCGTTTAAGCATGCGTGGACGAAACTGGTCGTGTAAACACTAAGAAACGCAAGTTTTCGACGTGAACCCGTACAAATTTTTTATCGCATATATTATCGTGTGTAAATGTTCAAAAAGTTAGTTTTCTGAGCGTTTTCACACTCATTTCCTTTCATGTATATGTTAATTGTATGAGAGTCTAAATTTGACGCGTTTTTTGACAACATTTTTGCTGTAATGATTGGAGCGATAGTTGATAACCGTGTTGGCGTTTGAAAAATAGATATTTTGATCATTTTTTGATACAAATATTTCTGTTGTTACTTATATTCAATATGCCAGTATTTTAAGGATCAAGATCAGATAATTATAAGCGTGTTCCGAAGCTGAACTTTTCATTCATATTTTGTAAAAAAAAATTATAAACGTTTAAATAATGAAATACAAATAAAAATGAGCGTCTTCTGAAGCCAAATTTTCCATACTCATTTCGTTTTTCATTTACGCATTTTAATGACCAAAAATAGATTTTCATGAACGTTTTAAGAAAGATAATTTTTCACTCTCAAAACTTCACGCGTTTATACAGTTTGTAATTGACTGTAATTTATAGATAAGCATTTGCACGAACAAAATCATAGTTTTGTTGTATTCAAGTACGAAAAAAGTCTTGTAAACGCTGAAAAATTCAAAGCTTGAGCATAGTAATTCATAGATTTACTTAGCATTCGTTCAGTTGTAGTTGCATGCATGATTGCGATGCTTAATTCTTTATATTAACTAAAAGTATTTTCAATGTAACATACATTTCTCAAACGAAAACAACATGTATGAACTATAGGAAAACAGCGTGCAAATCCACGAAAATTTCAATTATTCAAGATTGTATACCATAGTAGTGTACAATTGCCTTGATATTGGTTTATTAAGATCTTATC